ACGAAGTTGGTCAACAATGAATCCTTTAAGGTAAATATTAAGATACTTGATGGTAGCGATGGTGTCATTAAAACCTCTAATTTATCCTTAGTGTATCGGCACATTTACTGAATCGTATTGAAGACTTGCATTCCTCTTCATTGCATTCAATATCTGTATCTTTTCGCCTCCTCTCTCTCTCTCTCTGCCCCCCCCCCCCTCCCCCGTCGCAATTCTTCATTAAGCCTGCAGATTTTAATCTCACTTTCGTTATATATAAAAGAAGGCCTGCTTAGTATACTCTTCTATTTTAGATCTTAAAAATTGGGTTGAAAACATACACTGTGTGTAAAGTACTGAGTAATGGCAAAACATCCGTTTTATCCCATTATATTCAGATCTACTGTAGGTTGTCTGACTGCATATGGATAATCATATAAATGTACTCTCCAAACTTCGAGGTATACTGAAACAATTTGGACGTTTTTAAGTAAATATATCCAATAATCCAATTTAGCTTGGGGGAAAACTGGCTATCCCTGTGACCAGTACACTTAGGTGTAAAGTGTAACGTACATACCTTAGTGATGTTTCAAGTATTAAAGAATTGTATAAAACTTCCCTTTCTCTGTTTAGCAACAATGATCATTTCTCTGTTTAGCAATGTGGAGGGGACTAAGAAGATCAACCAGAGAGAACTGGAGCTGGGTCTGGTGGGAACTAAGAACTCCTGGCACAGCAAGTATAAAGACAGTGCCTGGGTCTTCATAGGAGGACTACCTTATGATCTGACGGAAGGAGACGTAATTTGTGTGTTCTCCCAGTGAGTTTTTTACCTTCATATCAACCACTCTACTACTGCTTTGGCCTGAATAACACAAGAGTTTTCTTGGGCATGACCTACATTCAAGTGCAGTCCTATCCATAATTGTTGTTTTAGGCATTCTTTTAAATATAAAGCTAATTTTGTGGACTGTTTTAATATTTTTATATTGTAGGTAATTTGCTATAATATTTAAGGCCAAAAGCTTTTTCAGTGGAGTATAAAATTGATTCAAATGTATAAACACTGGTTTATAGTGTGATTAACTACCACATAAAGAAGAAGGTCATTTATAAAATAATACTTTTTTTCAGTCCTTTAATTGAGAAACCTTTGTATGTTTAAACCTTGTCTTATTTGAAGCACAAATCATGTAAAATTTTCACTACCTCCACCGCGCCTATTGAGAATAATACAAATAACAATGAAGCAATTTTTTTGGTTTTGGAAGAAAATTTTTATCACAGATATACTGCATGATAAGCTAGGAATTGATTAAATGGCTGTATGATCTTTTTTAAGCATAAACTTGACATATGCCTGTAAAGTATTCTTCAGATTCAGTTGCATGATTCACCCATGTGATAAAACTGAAAGGCAGCAGAATCTGAAGTTCACCTTAGTTTATAAGTTAATCTCAGGGTTTTTTACTCCAAAGAGATCATATAACTTACTTGATGAACTGACAGTTAAATACTAGTACAGAAGTATTCATAGTTTTACAACCAGTTATGAATTCTTGATTTCAGGTACGGGGAGGTGGTGAACATCAACATGGTCAGGGACAAAGGGACGGGGAAATCCAAAGGTTTCTGCTTTTTATGTTACGAAGATCAGCGCAGCACTATACTGGCTGTAGACAATCTGAACGGAGCTAAGGTACGGAACAAATAGGAACTGGCCTTCAACCTACCAGCGACCATGGTCACAGATAATTGTGTGCACTTTTCTCTAACAGTGCAGAAAAGTACCATCATTTATCTAGATATGTATCAGATCTATGAATATGTAGTGATAAATCAATCTTTGGCCTTGGAAGAGGGTACTTACAGCCAACAATTTCAAAACAGGGTCCTTTTCTAGAGAAGTTTTCCTTTATACCCCCCCCCC